CCCAAATTCACCCCGCTCCCAAAACATTCATAGCCATGTATCCAGTCTATTCAGAGACTCCCAGTAACAAGAAACCGCTACACCCTAAAGCTAAAATTTTTAAGTGCCCCCATGCCTTGCTTTGTATACATGAACACAGTTTTGTATTGATAGGGTCCCTATTTCGCCTATCTTTTACCCAGTCTATACCCTCTAATCGTTAAACACAAAACTGAAAACGATCAGAGAAAGAAAAACAAATTCAAAACATCCTTAACTCCCTGGCGCCCGGTAGGGCGATCTGGGCTGGGCGGAAGAGGGGGAAGGCACTGCGTCTGCGCACTCCAAAACGAAAGGGAAAGTAAGCGATATGCGGAGGCTAGATTTTCAGTGTCAGGTAAAAGATGGACGCAAGATTGTTGGGCTGCGCGGTGTCATTCAAATGCACTCAAGGACAGATATGATCCTGTTTACGCTATTAAGAGTTAATTTCAAGATGGATCTACGCGTACGCGACTTCCGCCCGTCTCCACCCTATCCTATATCCATAAGTGCTTCTTTCTTTTCCGGGAAGTAAAGCAAGAGATAACTGAAGTCCCACCCTATGTAATCTCATCCCCTCTTTCCCCTAAAACATACTACGTCCTTCTTATACTCTTCTAATCCATTTCTTTTCTGATGGGTCTCAGTCCATTTTTTTTCATGAATACATACATCACTCACTTTTCTAGACCACATAATAATATATTGTTCCGCTTTTCACGCTTTTTTTTAAAGAAAAAAAATGCCATCGCTACATAATCGCCTCTACAACTTTTCTTATTCAAATTTGAAGTAGAAATTATACGCACACATTCAACTGAGTAAATAGCATCGATCGTCGCGATACAGAGAGAAACATTATTGTAAACTAACACTAAACATTCAAGTATACTTAATGATAGTGCAAATTCAATTGCAGACATAGACGTCTACTCATTGAAAACATAGACTTCTTTTAAAAAGTATATTATAAGAATATGTATTTATATAATAAAACATCTTTAACCACAGCCATCTGAAAATAGAATGTTACCTGAAACCCATACTCACACACCATCCCACCCCTTTTCCCCCTTTTTCAATCTCGCCTCATGGAAACATCTACCCGAAACCTCAGCCGACTTAAAATCCAAAACAAAACAAGGATGATAAAAATGCAGTGCATTTATCTACAAAAAGACACGACACCGGCAGGCTGGGTTTGGATTTACGAGGAGACGATTGTACATAGCGCCTAATTAGGCTTCCTTTTGACACTGGCAGTCGATCCGACGCTGATTAATAAAATAAATTGGTGTGCAGAAGCAAAATGTGGTGAAATGTGGAGAAAATACGTGCGGACATGTGTGACATATTATGGTCTTAGCTTTGCCTACAGATGACATCGGCTGATATCTTGTGTCTGTCACGACACGAAAGTGAAGTGGTTGGTGGTGGGGGGAGGGGGTGGGGTTAGAAGGGGAGGGAAAGAGGGACAGAAAGAGAAAAGGAGAGAGATAGAGCGAGAGGAGAGAGACGGAGAGAG